TGAACATCCAACTGATGGGTGAACCATTTTCGAGCAGCAGCAACAGTGAGTAAGCAACGAAGTGTAGTAAGCAACGAAGTGTAGTAAGTTTCGCTGTAGGGGAAAATGTTTCTGTGTAATCAATACCTTCAACCTGAGTGTACCCCTTTGCTACTAGTCGAGCTTTATAACGTTCAACAGAACCATCAGAGTTGTATTTAATTTTGTACACCCAACGACAACCAATAGCTTTATGACCAAGTGGTAGAGGAGCGAGAGACCATGTATGATTACGTTCCAAAGCTGCAATTTCATCATTCATAGTCTGCTGCCATAACGGGTCGCCAACTGCCTCGTCATAGGTTTTAGGTTCTGTCTGGGATGTAATAAGAGCTAGAAAAGCACGTTGAGTAGGAGAAAAACGAGAGAATGAAAGGTAATGATGAAGGGGATACCTGGTGCCAGTGCCGGGACTTGAGCTAGAGGTTAAATGATTGGCTCGAGAAGACATCTCATAATCCTTATGCCAAGCTGGAGGCTGTTTAGTACGAGTAGAACGTCGAAATGGAGCTGATGTATCAGGTGGGATAGGATTGGAATTAGTGGGCGAATCTGGAGAAGGTGGAGGAGACGACGGAGTAGTAGGTGAAGGGATAGGAGGTGAAGGAGGAGTAGGAGGTGAAGGAATAGGAGGTGAAGGAGGAGTAGGAGGTGAAGGAATAGAAGGTGGAGGATGGATGTTTGAGTAGGATGGATCATGAAGTGGTACAACAGGAGTCGAAGGAGCTAATGTCGAAGTTTGTGAAGCTGATGAAAAAGAAAAATCATCTTCACAAAATTTGACATCACGGCTGATAAAGAATGTGTGAGATTGCATGTCATACAACTTGTAACCTTTATGACCACAAGGATATCCTACGAAAACATAAGGAGTTGCCCTAGGTTCAAATTTTTGCTTAGGATGTACTATAGTTGCATAACATTTACAACCAAAAACTTTAAGATGATGAAATGTAGGTGGTCGTTTGTAGAGTGCTTCAAAGGGTGTCTTGTTAGATAATAATGGTGATGGCGTTCTATTTATAAGATAAACAGCCGTTAAAATGCACTCTCCCCAAAAATTAAGTGGAACCTGTGACTGAAAAAGAAGAGACCTAGCTACATTTAGGATATGGCGATGCTTGCGTTCTACGACTCCATTTTGTTGTGGAGTATAGACACAAGTGTGCTGAAATTCAATACCACAAGAAGTAAAGAATGGTTGCAAAGATAGAAACTCAGTCCCATTGTCTGATCGAACTATCTTGATAATAGTATGAAATTGAGTTTGAACGAATTTAACAAAGTTCATTAACAAATGATGTACTTCTGACTTATGTTGCATTAAAAAAACCCAAGTACATCGAGTAAAATCATCAACAATAGTGAGAAAAAAACGCAAACCAGAATGGGTAGGACTTTTATGTGGTCCCCAAACATCACAATGTATCAGATCAAAAGCAAAATGGGTTGTTATTGAACTTCTTGGGAAAGACAACCTAGTTTGTTTTGCTAACGGGCAGATACTACAATTATGAGAATAACTCGCATTATTAAGATGCAATTGATCAGCTAGAAATTTAAAACGAGAAAAGGAAGGATGACCTAGGCGTAAATGCCACAAATCAGATGACTGAGATACTTGATGAGCTGAAGACTTGATTGGAGATGAAGAAATATGATAGAGACCTCCAAATTGTTTACCCGAGCCAATCATCTTCCCCGTAGCCAAGTCCTGCATAACACAAGAATCAGGATAGAAGGTGACATAACATTTCAAGTTATTGGTAAGTTTGCTGATCGACATTAGGTTTAAATTGAATGAAGGCACACATAAAACGTTGTTTAATTTAAGGTTAGGGCTAAGGGAAATATTGCCAGTATGTGACACACGTGCTGTCTCTCCATTAGGCAAATTTATTGTAGACATGATGGCAGCCTTTGGTTCAGTCATAACAGAAGATTTTGATACTATATGATCCGTAGCTCCACTATCGAGAATCCATGAATTAGAACTCGCAGAGTTAATAGATAATGTAGATATGGGAAACAAACCTGCAACATTGATGTGATTGTCAGAATTACCAGAAGGGTGATGATTGATTGCAGATAAGGCTTGTGCTATCTGTCGTAATTGCTCAGAAGAAAAATTTGGAATGGAATTAGGTGACTGTTCTTCTATATTCAACTGTGAAACATCGGCCATATTTGCAGATGATCGATATCCACGGTTATTGTGTTGATTGTCTTGTCTTGTCCTTCCAGAATTATTTTTCTGTCGACACCGATCTTCTGTATGGCCCCTTCTATCACAAAACTTACAGTGAAACTTAAGAATTCGACACTCATTAATTGTATGACCACTTTTATTGCAGTGTTCACACAATTTGTCCTTGGCGAATTTTGAATATATTGTTTTCTTTTGCACTGCTGATGCAATCGAGATTTTCTCAGTAGGTTCGGAAGTTACCTGACGCTGCATCTCTTCTTGTACAAGTAATGAATAGGCTTGCCTCACATTAGGTAATGGAGACATCATCAATATGTTAGATCTCACCGTTTTATAAGACTGATTGAGCCCCATGAGCAATTGCATCAACTTGTCTTCTTCGCGTTGATCAATATGTATTTGACGTTGATTACAGGTAAATGGTGTGCGGTACGCTTCCAGTTCATCCCAGAGTGCTTTGAGCTTGGTGAAATATGTTGACAGTGCCATGGTTCCTTGTGACATCGTTGCTATCGAGTTTTGTATTTGAAAAATTGCTGGAGCATTCTTTTGTGAGAATTGATCGTGAAGATCAACCCACACTTGATGAGCTGTCTTGGCGTGAATAATGCCTTTAGCGATATCTGCTTCAACGGAATGAGTTAACCAAGATATTATCATACTGTTGCACTGATTCCAGAGTTCGAATTCGGTTGAATTTGCATCTTGGGACGGTTCCTCAATTGTGCCATCAATGAAGCCAATTTTCTTCTTGGCAATAAGAGCATGCATAACTGATTTACTCCAGGATTGATAATTTGCTCCATTTAATTTGATTGGAACAAGTGAATATCCTGGCTGATCAGAGTGATGAATATAGTACGGATGTGTTAAATCAACATCCGAAATTTTGAAGCTAGATTTGGCTGATTCCGTCATAAAGGAAATTTTGATATTTAAGAACACCAAGATCGGTGCTCTGATACCATGTTAAGAATGAGAAATAGAAATAGAATTGGGATCGAACGTATGATCTTCATTCAGGTTTACCAGGTTTAAATAGGATACAAACTATCAATTAATACCTAAAAATAGAAAAAATATATATCTAATTAAATCTGGTAAATAAATAAAATATACGGTTAATCAAATCTATACTAACAACTCCCTAAATATCTAAGATATATTCTAACTAATTATCACGGCAAAATATCCTCTTAATAAGTATCCCTTAAGGTTTATCTTGAGTGTGTCAAGATCACGAGGCCGCACATTTAAAGAACTATGACCATGACACGATGCACTAGTCGGAGTAGGGATACTCTCTCTATAGTAGACGCGTTTTAAAATTATGAGGATGACAAAAATATATAACTAGTCAAATCGGACAATATGTATTAGTAGCAGGCTTGGAGATTACAAAATAAAGAAAATAAATGACAACTATGCTCTTTCGAATCAGAGCCTCAATCTGGTGCTTTAGATCACTCAACCAAATTGTCCTGACAAATGTATTTAAGCAAACCAAGATTGATATGAACCAAGAGACGACAATCATACAATATGCTTTAATGAAGATGTGAAGAAAATATTGTTGAAATTATCAAAAGATATTTCAATTTATGTCATATTGAAGAAGAATGAAGTTTCAAGTATAAGTTTTGGGTGGATTACAATTCAGAGTAATTTAGAGTTATTGTATTTCATTAATGTATTTTAAAACTTTTTATTTACTATAGATTACAATTACTTAATGGTTGATTATGGTCATTAAGTATAAATATTACATTTCTTGAAATGCCTTCAATAATTTCATTTTGAGGCTATATAAAGCTATGTATGTTGTATTTGTAAGAGACTTGGAAAATGTAGTAAAAGAAGCATTTGTACTCTTCTTTGCCCAATGACTAAGTTTCTTTGCAATTCCATGTAGTTTAGGTTGCAGGTAGATTTTTTAGCCAATGGCTAAGTTTCTTTGCAATTCTATGTAGTATAGGTTGCATGTAGAATCATTCAAGTTCGACACGATCAATCTTGCTTGTAGAGTGATTCGAATCTCAATCAAGTGTTCTTGCCTTGAGATATTTGATCAACAAGAATCATTCAAGCTAAACATGATCAATCTTGTTTGTGGAGTGATTCAAATCTCAAACAATGTTCTTGCTTGAGATATTCGATCAAGTAATCCAAATCTTACTCCACTTCTAAATAGAATGACAAATTATTTGAGTCTTTTTTCAAAATAATTCAGTCGAATGACAAATAATTTTAGTTTTTTTTTTAAATAATTAAATAGAGAATAACAATAATTCGAGTCCTTTTTTTAAAATAATTAAATAGAGAATAATAAATAATTTGAATCTTTTTTCTTTCAAAATAATTAAATAGAGAATAATTAATTTGAATCTTTTTTTTTTCAAAATAATTAAATACCGAATATCAAATAATTTTTAATACTTTTTTCCAAAATAATTAAATAGGGAATAGCAAATTATTTGATTCTTCTTTTTTCAAAATAATTAAATAAAGAATAATTTAAAAAAATAAAAGATTAAATGAATATGAACATAGTAAATAAAAGAAGAACCCAGTTAATTATAGTAATAATAACCCAAATCATATTTTTCTCATTACTCATTTCACCACCCCTTAAAGCTTATAATATACAAAAACAAAAAACAAAAAACAAAAAACAAAAAAAAAAAAAAAAAAAAAAAAACCAACAACAAAAAAAGGTGAGAAAATCCCAGGAAAAAAAAATGAACACGAAGACTTCCTCACCACCATAAACACAACTTCATTCACAGTTGCATAATTTTCTCCCCCCAAACCAAAAAAGAAAAAATATAACAAAAACCAACTCTCAGATCTTCCCGGTTCTTCAGATTTTCACCTATTTTCCGGGAATGTTCATATAATGTATATGTTGTGATTATTATTCCTTCATCTACGCCGCCAACACCGTGCCGGCGCGGAAACGGCAGTCGTGCCCGGTGGTGGACTTTCCCGGAGAAGTGGATTTTCTCTGATCTTTTTTTCTCATGGCTTTGATGGATGATGATAGATTCAACTTCTTCTCTTTCGCTTCGTCCATGTCGATTTGCTTTTCTCTACACTCTTCGCTGCAAAATGGAGTGTCTCCTCTGCAGAACATAATCGTAATCATCTCGTTAGAAATAGAATTAACCATGGATCCGGTATCTATAACTCTTCTTTTGTTCTTCATAGTTAAAGATCTAATTCTCAAAATCTCAAGGAAAAAGGCGTTTTCAGATCTTGAGATTTCATGTTCGTCAAGAAGCCGCTCGATCCTATATTTCTATTAAAAAAACTGCTCTCTAGTAATAATCGAATTCCTCTCTTGATTATCAGAGATTTAAATGGATTCCTCCTCGCTACCGAGAATTTCAACACAAAATGTCGAACTACTCTCCAATAATCGAATTCCTCTCTTGATTATCAGAGATTTAAACGAATTCATCCTCGCTGCCGAGAATTTCAACACAAAATGTCGAACTACTCTCAAATAATCGAATTCCTCTGTTGATTATCAGCGATTTAAATGGATTCCTCCTCGCTACCGAGAATTTCAACACAAAATGTCGAATAAACCAAAAATCTTAACCAATTACCAGACGCTTACTTAAATCAAAAGCAAATTCCACAATTCAGATCTAAAAAACAACTCTAATAAATACAACTATTTTTAAACTGAAAAAAGAAAAGATAGAGAGGAAAAACTAACCTGTACATGAAAATGTCTTTGTTATCAGAGAGCGGTTTCTTGCAGAGAAAACAAGCTTCCAAGAAATGGTGATGATGATGTTCAAATCTGGCATCATAAAACCTCGCTGAAACTCTCGAGGAGGAAACCGAGAGGTTTCTCGTGCCTCGCCGGTGAGTACCGCCATGGCAAATCCTTGGGCGGTGGAAGAAAGGCTGAGGATAGTGGCTGCTCTGGTTTCCAGAAATTCCAGCTTCCACATCCACCAAGGAGACCAACCCGTCGTCCTCATCGATGAAATACGGCCTTCTCGCAGCTACAGAAGAATCCATAGTTTTCTCAAATCTTAGAGAGAGAGAGAGAGAGAAAAGAAGAAGAAAAAGAGGAGAGTGGAATTGCCGATGAGTTGCGGAGTTTTATAAAGGGAAAAAGTGGAGTGATGAAGCTGAGAGAAAAATTTGGCCCACAACCAACGGCAGGTTTCAGAGTGAATCCATTGGAACAAAATACCTGAACTCAAAAAAAAAACCCTTCTCTCTTCACCCCTAATGTTGTTTCTATTTACGGTTGTGCCATTTCAAAAGGTTGTCAAATTTATAAATAAGACAGAGAATTGGGTGCGTTTTGTAATTTTGGGGAAGATTAAGGGCTAAATAGTAAGGGTAACTAATTCTCCGGAAGGCAGGCACCCACACGTCCCTACCAAACGGGAAAGACTCCCTTGAGCTCCAAGTCGTGACGTCAAATATTGTTAGAAGAAAAAGGCAATGCTCACGCTCCCATGGGAGCGTGGATCGCCACATTTTTCTTTTCTGCTTTTTTTTTTTTTAATTCGAAAAAACTCGATTTATATCCATTTTTTATAATTATAAATACATATTGGGATTTCATTTTTAATTAAAAAAAATTAATTTTCTTTTCAATGTATTAATAAATGAACTCCTTTAAATACTCAATAAATGTGGAATTTATTTTTCTTTCCACACAAGTGACACATATTCAAAGATAATTAATTAAATTATTATTTAATTAATTGAAATTCTTTCAATTTCATTATAAAAACAGTTCTAAAATATCTTTAAATTTTAATTTTAAAAAAATAAATTAATTATATAGATGTGATAATTGAGGTGCAAAAAAGTAGAAGTCGAATGTGATTATTTACACACAAATTTTACCGCTAAAATCATTATATAATTACCTATCACATGGTAAATAATGTTCATTTCATTAAGATTAATTTCTATATTATTTTAATAAAATTAAGTTTTAGGATAAAAATGAAATATTTCCTTTGAAAATGGAGCGCGTGTAACACAAGCGCTGAAGAACGGAGGTAAAAATTTCATCACAGTCTCCCAACAGTACTGGTCGGATACCTCCCTCCGACCCACGGTTTTCTAACTTCATTCTCCCAAGTGAAGCTGACGTCACAAAACCTCTAATTTATATATTATTTTTTTTATAAAAAAAATCCTAAGATTCTTTTGTCGTTTTCGTAATTACTTCACGGCCCAGCCCACTTTCCGAAGTCATGGAACGTGGGACCCACCTGAACGGCCCTTTTGGAGCGTATTAATAATTATTATTTAATTTACTTTAATCACGAGGGAGCTCGTTTCCCAAGGTTCTTGTCCCCTCTCTGCCCATGAATCAACGGGCAGAAATGACCAGTGCCATCTGAATTCTGTTTACACGTGTGGGACTTTTTGGCCCCACCGTGGCGCTTTCTTGAAGCTAAATACTTCCACGTGCCACGAATTAACGCCGAGTAAAAACACCGCTCTATTACTCGGAAACTAATTCGGGACGCCAGATCCTGATTCGCCGTAGTTTCCTGTTTTTATTTGCGGTCGAGTCTTTTTAGGTTACATAAAAAGTTTTTTTTTTTTTTTTTTTTTTTTTTACCTTTTGAGGATTTGTTTATTTTATTGTAGATTTCTAAAAATTCTTTCTAAATTTTAATTTTATTAAATAAATCTTGAAGAAAATTAACTTTTTTTTAAAATAATTAATTTTTTTTAGTTAGTTAAAATGTTATTAATATCTATTTCTATTTAATTTGTTTTAAAATTAGGGGTATTTAGATAAAATTATTGATATTATATAGTTTTATTTAGTATATTTTTTTAATATTTTTTAATTTATAAAAAATTTAAAAATTTTATACTAACTAAAAACTACCGTCTAAATTATAAAAATATATATAATTAATAAATGAAAAATTATGTACACCTATATTTCCACATCCATATAAAAAAAATGTTTCATTCTCCTCTTGAACCGATGTAGAATCTCACCGTCCACCCCCTTTCGAAGCCCAGCATCCTCTTTCGCATTCGTTCCTCTCTCCAATCAATGTGAGATCTCACAATCCACTCTCTTTCGGGACCTAGCGTCCTCGTTGGCACACCGCCAAGTGTCCACCCCCTTGGTACACCACCTGGTGTCTGACTCTGATTCCATTTGTAACGACACAAGCCCACCGCTAACAGATATTGTCCCCTTTAGCTTCTCTCGATGTTTTCAAAACGTGTCTACTAGTGAAAAGTTTTCACACTCTTATAAAGAATACTTCGTCCTCCTCCCTAACGGATATGAGATCTCACATTCAAACTAAAACCCATGTCCCATGAGGTCTAGAGTACTCGCCTAAACCAAGGCAAGAAATCCGCTCGATATCTATCCCATTCTAGCTAGATTTCACTTTCATGACTTTCGTTTTTGCTTTTCGTAAAATGAGAAGTGAGTTCGGGAAATATCAACTTTTGTGGCGCATGCTCTTCCTCCCATCCTTCCTTTACTCCTTTTCCACTTTATTTTTCTTTTACTTTTTCTTATTCCTTCCTTTTAATCATTCACCTTATAGTATATAGTTTAATGCATATCGTAAAAGTTTTCTAACGTGAGGGTTACCACAAATAAGAGGTTCGATTGCTCTCAAGAAAGAGCTGGCTTCACTCGATGGAATGGTGCTCGACTTGATCGAGCAGATCCCCTTAGTCTAGTCCTCACCTCGATCCCTTCATGGGCTAAGCCAACTTTAGAGGTGTACACGAGTTAGGTTAGGTTGGATTGAGTTGGGTAAATTTTTGGACTAACTCGAAAATTAGTTGGATTGATGACCCGACTCAACCAATTTCAAGTTGGGTTGGGTTGGGTTGGGTTGGGTTGAGTTGGGTTGATGACCCCAACAATCCAAATAGAGTTCATAACCCAACTCAACTCTCTGTTTTCTCGTTGGATTGTTAGGTTATTTTTTAAAAATTAAATATTACAACACATCTCTAACATTATTTACAAATGCCAGATATTTTTAATTTTCTTAATAATCTTAAAAGTAAAATTGGATTATAACCCTATTTTGAGTGGTCGTGTTGACTCGACTAAAAAAATGTCAACCCACGAATTGACTTAAAATTTTCAATTTTCTAAAAATTCAACCAACCCAAACCGGAAAAAGCTAACTCAACCCGGTTATAGGTAGACGAAGAACCGCCCACGGATTCACAATTTAATTCACAATTCCACCTTTTATTTTTATTTTTTATTACCTTTTTATTTTTTTGACATTTTTGGCCATTTCTTTTCCTAAACCCTTTGGAATATTTTTTCCCTTTATTTCTGGTTTTTGGTTCCCACCGTTTGTCCCTTTATATTCCCTCAACAAAAATGTAAAATAATAAACATTATTTCCATATTTTAATCTGCCTTCTTAATTAATTACACTTATTTTATTATTTATTTTTTCCAACTTCCCTATCACTCAATAATTTAAAATTACATAAATCATAATCATATTTTAATGTAATTAATTAAATTAGGTGTGCGTTATAAATAATGCTAATTTGTGCATGGAAAAATATTCACCCATTTTCCATGAAAATTTGAGTCCTATTAATTAAAAATTTTAATTTTATTAAATTTTTTTTTTTTTATCTAAAACGTTGTGGCATGGACGTTAGGTGAAAGTCTTTACAACCGAAATTCATCGAGGAGTCAACCTCGAAACTCATTCCGAAGAACACATGCCCTGCCCCCCCCCCTCCCCGTCTTACCGCGGCAGCTGGCACGGAGTTAACCGAGACTTCTTCCTCGAGTCCTGTCATGATCGCGCACTTGATGAAATAACTTTACAAGCGCCATTGCCTATCTTCACTCACACGATATTGCTGGATCGGGCTTTCGCCCTTTGTCCAAGATTCTCCACTGTTGCCCCATGTGAGAGTCCGAACCGTGTCTCAATACCAATATGGCTGATCATCCAAAAAAACGAGCTAAACATTCCAGAGAGAACTCCATTTGAAGTACCTCCTTTAGAAAACCCTCCCACTCAAATCTTTTTCGTGATCAAGAAATTTACAATGTGCCATTAAAATCCAATTTTTAAAATCAAAATAATTATATTTGAAATGAAACGAATTAAATAAAAATTCAAACATTAAAAGCTATAAAGTAATATTTAAACCACATTAATGTGGGGCGGACATAGCTCGTGATACATCAAAGTGCAGAGAACTTGACCAATTTAAGACACGTGGCCAACACATACATTCCCACGTCTGTTTCCCTGTGAACCAGCATGTCCCCTAAATTAAAGGCCACTATTCCCTTAAATTATTTTTAAATAATAAGAGATAATAAAAATATTACAATATGGGGAACTGCTTGTCCTTAAGCAGGGGGGGGGGGGCGTCAGAGCCAAAGTGCCCTAAAAAGAATAATTACATTAACTTTAAAAAGAAGCCGAATAAATTCTCTCGAATAATATGTTTATTTATAAAATAAAAAACTGCTCGTTTTAGTATTTTATTATTCGAATCCCGAAATTAATGCCACGACCGTCAAATTCTGCTCGACACGTGTTTGGACTTTTGAGACACGTGTGCGGGTCTCAATTGGCACCCTGCACCACAACAGTATAAAGCAAGTAAACTAAGTTCCGAATCTGACCTTGGTTTTTTTTTTTTTAATTTAAATTAAAAAAAACATTAATATCGAATATTCTTCATCTTTACAAAAATAAAATAAAATAGAATAATAATAATAATAATAATAAATAAAATAAAATAAATAAATAAATAAATATATATATATATATATATATATATATATATATATATATATATATATAAAAGTAGGATAGAGTTGGATTGAATTGTAACGTTAAATATTGGATTGGTCGGGTTAACCGGCATAAAAAAAAATGTTAACCTATGAACCGTCCAAAAATCTTAAATTTTCCAAAAATTCGACCGTTAAAAAGAAAAATCTAACTGAATTCAACCCAAATATATATAGTTTAAGTTGGAGAGTCTGAATTAGTCGAGTTATCATAAGACTTGAAGGTGAGGTGATTTTTGAGGTTCAAATTCTAATATTTTATAAATACTAATGGTTCTAAATCCCAATTTTTGTTAATGTTGTATGA